TGACAGGATGATTATATTAGACCATTCCCATAATAGAGGAGGCATCCATTTGTCCTCACAATGATAGACAAATATTCTGGATATTAATTTTATTTCTCTGCCTGCATTACTTCTGGCAATAATACCTCTCATAACATAATGCATTATCCATCATTATTTTATTTCATACAACATTGCCTCTAATGGGGACCCATTAACAGCAAAGGAAGTGTGGTTATGGGCTGAGAGCAACAAAATTCCCCTACCATATGTGCCATCACCTAGAAACAGCTGGCTTTAACAGAGTGGTGGTATGACTTGCTGAAGCATCTGGGTAAATAAACACAGGAAAGAAGAAGTAAAACGCATATTATTCTTCAATGCACATGAAAAATAATATGCATTTTACTTCTCTCCTGTAGTTTATTTACCTCAATACAATCCACATCTGTAACTGAGCTCTGTATTTCTAATTATATGGGCATTTCTAATTATGTGGGCATTTCTGTATCAAACTCAACAGTTCCAAAACTGAATTTCTAATCTTCCCCATCATAAAAGTTGCTTATTCTCAGTATTCCTTCTGGTCTCAGCTTATGACACCACCATTTAGCCAGTCATCCAAGCCAGAAACAGAGGGCTTACCCTAGATTTCTCACTCTTTTTAGTGCCTACATGTAATCTGTCATCAAGTCCTATTAATTCCACTTCCAAAGTATCTCCCAAATCTGATCTTTTCTTTCATTCTCCACTGTAACATCTCATTTTTCATCTAACTTCTGATTATAGTTTCCTAGTCTCTAGTCTCTTCGTCTTCTCTGTGTAAACACTGAACTTATGTTTCTAAGAAATAATTTCCTTACTTAAAACATGTTAAGGGCTCCCCATTACCTACACCCCCCATGATATTTCCTCTCCCTAGAGTGCTCAGCTGCATGACAACGACATCTTCATCTTTTGATACTTGGCCCAAGTATCTCCTTCTGAAACCTTCCCTTACCCACCTAGACACAATTAGGTACTTCCTTTTGATGTACCCCATGGATCTTTTATATACTCATTGGTCACATTTTTGCAATTAACTGTGTATTTGTCTGCCACCTTCACTAGACTTTGAGTCCTTACAGAGCAGATACTCTGTTCTATTTATTAGCACAGGATCTCAGACATAGTTCATGTTTAATGAATATATGTTGCTTATAGAATAAATAAATGAATGAATGATTTTTTTGACAGGATGTTCCATTTCCTTTTCATAGAGTTGCAGGGAGTGAATGAGAAATTTTACTTTGTGTGCTTTGTTCATTTATGGCATTTAAACACTCTTCATTCTGACTGTTGCTGAGAATCAGTAATGAACAAAACCAACAAAATTTTGATTTTTTTCCCCCTATCTTACTAAAAGAATTCTGGCTTTTAAATCTTGTCCCTTCCTGTGTCCTATAGATCTTAGCTTTCCTCAGCCACCTTTGCAACTTAAGCTTTGATTCTTCCTAGGTCTTTGTTGTTTTAACTTCTCTCTCTGTCATGACATTTAGACAAATATTTCTTATGATGTTTTTTCACTCTAAATTTCCTAGTTTAGAAAGAATATAAGGTCGTGTTAAAGTAAATACAACTAAAAATATATTGCAAAATTACCCATGAAGACAAAGTTTATGTCTTTTTTTTTTTTTTTTTTTTCCAGAAAGAGTCTTGCTCTGTTGCCTAGGCTGGAGTACATTGGCACCATGTCATCAAACTGCAACCTCCACCTCTGGGTTCTAGCATTCTCCTGCCTCAGCCCCCTGAGGACCTGGGACTACAGCTACATGCCACCACACCCAGCTAACTTTTGTAGTTTTAGTAGAGCCTGGGTTTCACCATGTTGGCCAGGCCAGCCTCAAACTCTTGACCTCAAGTGATCTGCCCACCTTGGGCTCTCAAAGTTCTGGGATTACAGGCATGAGCCACCACCCCAGCCAATTTTGTATCTTTTTAAAAGATTACTAGTTTGTTTATAAAACAAATTATGTTTATAAAGTGATCTTTTATTTCTGATCACTATATTTGAAACACTGTTGCTGCTTGTAAACCTGTTATTTTATCAATATACCATTTAATTATAATAGTAACTAATTTTAAAAGAGTTCAAAATCTGAGAATTAAATTATTTGAACAATTACTATGACTCTCTTGAAAATAGAGTGCATTTTATTCTTCCCTAATAAGAGAAAAAAGATATCTGAATTGTTATATATCACTGTTGAAAAAAGAAAAATAAGAGGCCAGGCACAGTGGCTCACGCCTGTAATCCTAGCACTTTTGGGAGGCAGAGGCGGGCAGATCACTGGAGGTCAGGAGTTTGAGACCAGCCTGGCTAACATGGTGAAACCCTGTCTCTACGAAAAATACAAAAATTAGCCAGGCATGGTGGTGCACTCCTGTGATCCCAGCTACTTGGAAGGCTGAGGCAGGAGAACTGCTTGAACCCAGGAGGCAGAAGTTACAGTGAGCCGAGATCTCGCCACTACACTCCAGCCTGAGCAACAGAGCATTTGCTGTCATGGATCATTATCCATTTAAAATCTGATGAAGTCAAAATTTCATGAGGGCAAGGATGTATCTTCTCACTGTTAATAGCTCTACCACCCAATACAGTGTCAACCTATGGTACACAGCTTACTGTGTACTAGTCATTGTTCTAAATGCTTTACATAGATTTACACTTCTTTTTTTTTTATTATTTTAAAAAATTTGGGGGGCTGTTGTCAGTGACTCACACCTGTAATCACAGCACTTTGGGAGGCTGAGGTGGGCAGATCACAAGATCAGGAGTTCGAGACCAGCCTGGCCAATATGGTAAAACCCTGTCTCTACTAAAAATACAAAAATTAGCTGGGTGTGGTGGCACACACCTGTAGTCCCAGCTGCTTGGGAGGCTGAGGCAGGAGAATTGCTTGAACCCAGGAGGCGGAGGTTGCAGTGAGCTAAGATCACATCACTGCACTCCAGCCTGGGTGACAGAGTGAGACTCCATCTCAAAAAAAAAAAAAAAAATTGTAGAGCCAGGTTGTCCCTATTTTGCCCAGGCTGGTCTTGAACTCCTGGGCTCAAGAAAGTGTCCCGCTTTGGTCTCCTAAAGTGCTGGGATTGCGGCCATAAGCCACCATCCGTGCTCATCCCACATGGATTTATACTCCTAAACCTCTCAAGAATGCTACGAGGAAGTAGTGTTATGATTACTTTTGTTTGTTTGTTTGTTTTAAGAGATAAGGTCTCACTCTGTTACCCAGCTGGAGTGCAGTAGTGCAATCATAGCTGACTGCAGCCTTGAACTTCAGGGCTCAAACAATTCTCCCACCTAAGCCTCCCCAGTAGCTGGGACTACAGGCATGTGCCACTGTGCCTGGCTAATTTTTCTATTGTTTGTAGAGATGGGTTCTCACTATGTTGTCCAGGATGTTCTTAAACTTCTGGCTTCAAGTGATCCTTCCGCCTTACCCTCCCAAAGTGCTGGGATTATAGGCATGAGCCACCACACCTGGTCCTGATTACCATTTTAAGGAAGAGGTCAGTGAGGCCCAGAAAGGCTAGGTTATTTAGCAAAGATTATGTAACACAGAACCAAGATTCACATCCAAATAATTTGATACCAGAGTCTTACTCCATATCACCACTATGCTGTTTCCTAATCGATGAGTGTTTAATTAATAAATGAATACAACTTCTTAATAGGTGACCCTTTAAAATGGCTACCAATGTAGATCTTAAACACCAAAAAAATGTTTTGATGATCTCGGTAAGGACAACTAACTTCTCTCTAGTTACTCAGCTCATTATCAGTGAATATATTATTTTATGTGTTCAGATTAAGACAGGCAGTGCTGCAGAAGGAGGCTGAACTTAAGACTAAGGGTCTGAATACCGGCTCTCATAAGTATTTGCTGCTACATGATCTTGAAAATTTATTTACACATTTTTAAAATTATTAATCAAGATGAGGGTCTCTCTGTAGCCCAGGCTGGTCTCAAACTCCTGGCCTCAAATGATCCTCCTGCCTCAGTCTCCCAAAATGTTGGAATTACAGGCTTGAGCCACTGTGCCTGGCCTTGAACAATATTTTAACTTCTCCAGGTCTCAGTTTCAGTATCTCTAAAAGGGGACTAAAAATAGCTGCCACAAATGGCTGTGTCTTTTCTTCTTTCTTTCTTTCTTTTTTTTTTTTTTTTTTTGAGACTGAGTCTTGCTCTTGTTGCCCAGGGTGGAGTGCAATGGCACGATCTCAGCTCACTGCGACCTCTGCCTCTGAGATTCAAGCGATTCTTCTGCCTCAGCCTCCCGAGTAGCTGGGATTACAGGGGCCAGCCACCACACCTGGCTAATTTTTGTATTTTTGGTAGAGACGGGGTTTTGCCATGTTGGCCAGGCTGGTCTCGAACTCCTGACTTCGTGATCCATCTGCCTCGGCCTCCCAAAGTTCTGGGATTATAGGTGTGAGCCACTGCACTGGGCCTGGCTGTGTCTTTTTAAAGAGAATTAAATAAGAATGTATGAAAAGTACCTGGCACAAATAAAACAGTATATGTTTTCCCTTTACCTCTTCCTCTCTTTCCTTTTTTCACTTTCCTTCCTTCTTTATCTGCTATTAGCCCCTTGATTTTGTAAAATTTACTTAACTCCTCTAAGATTTATTTCCTCACCTATAAACTGAGTAGGTTAGTTATTTAGTTTCTAAGACCCTTTCCCACTATATAATTCTAATATTCAACAATGTAATAGCTTAGTTTTTCCTTATATCATAAAAATGCAACTTATTGAGGGGTGATTTGAAGTTAGTGTGGTTGATTAAGTTGTTTTTTCCCCCAAAAGATCCCATCACATAGATCTTGGTTTAGATGCATCCGAGTTATATAGGATGAAAACTTTATTCAATATGCAAATAGTTTTAATATGTAAATAACAACAATATATATCGCCTGTATCTACTTGTTATCTCCTATTTCAGAAGATTTATGTCTCTTTCCCTTTCCTCTACGTAGGTACTACTCAGGAAGCCTGGAGGCTAAGTCAACACATCGTGAAACTCTAGGACTAATTCACACTGCAACAAAGGGGCTGATTAGAGCTTTTGAAGATAGTGGGATAGATTCTGTGATGGAATGGGAAGTGGATGAAGTGCTGAACTGGACAAACACACTGAACTTTGATGAGTAAGTACATGTTGCTATTCTTGGGGAACAAGGGCAGTCATCATATTTTTTTCTAACATTTCCTATTTCTGTGTTGAATCTTGGGGCCACAAACAATCTTCAAAGAAAAAAACCCCGAGTATAATTTGTCTAGAAAGAATAGAAGAAAAAATGAGGGGTAAAAAATGACTGATACAAAAATAGTAAACAAAAAATTAGACTTAGGGCTCTTTATTCCTAGACTTTATTCTTATGCCTTAGTCTGCTTTGCTTCTTACTTTGGGATTTAGAAAAAAGGCTAAGAGCATGAAATTAATAATACAAAGGTTTTCTTTCATCTATATTCCCTAACCTTTCTGTATGAGACACTAAAACGTTATAATTTTTCAGCGATGTACTGTGGCCCTTGGAAAACATTTTAAAGATTTCTTTTGTGGTGGAAATATTTAATGTAGCCCCATTAAGGAAATGCAATCAAAACCATAATGAGATACCACTTCATACCTACTAGGAGAGCTATAATTAAAAAGACAGATAATGAAAAGTGTTTGCAAGAATGTGGAGAAATTGGAACTCTTATACACTGTTAGTGGGAATGTGCACTGGTGCAGCCACTTTGGAAAACAATCTGGCAGTTCCTCAAATGGTTAAACACAGAGCTGCCATTTGATCCAGCAGCTCCACTCCTAGATATATACCCAAGAGAAGGAGAAATACATGTCCACACACAAACCTGTGCATGAATGTTCGTAGCAGCATTAGTCATAAATAGCAAAAAAAGCAGAAATACTCCAAATGCCCATCACCTGATGAATGGCTAAATGAAATATGGTAGATCTACACAATAGAATATTATTCCACAATAAAAATAAGTGGGCTGGGCATGTTGGCTCATGCCTGTAATCCCAGCACTTTGGGAGACCATGGTGGGCAGATTGCTTGAGCCCAGAGTTTGAGACTAGCCTGGGCAACATAGCAAGACTCCATCTCTACAAAAAATAAATAATGATCCAGGCCTGGTGGTGCACAACTGTAGTCCCAGCTACTCAGGAGGCTGAGGTGGGAGGATCTCTTGAGCCAGGAGATAGATGCTGCAGTGAGTCATGATCACAACACTGCACTCCAGTCTGGGTGACAGAGTGAGACCCTGTCAAAAAAAAAAAAAAAAAAAAGACCAAGTGTAATGGCTCACGCCTGTAATCCCAGCACTTTTGGAGGCCGAGATGGGAGGATTGATTGAACCCAGGAGTTTGAGACCAGCCTGGGAAACACAGTGAGACTGTGCCTCTATTAATAACAGAAAAAAGAAATTAAGTTCTGATATCTGCCATAACATTGATGAATCTGCTAAGTAAAAGAAGCCAATCACAAAGGATCATGCGTTATTTTATTTATATGAAATGTCCAGAACAGGCGAATCTGTAGAGACAGAAAGTAGATTAGTGGTTTCCTGTGGCTGGAGAATTAACTAGGGGGAAGGGGAGGTGGTGTCTGTGGGGTGCAGGGTTTCTTTTTGAGGCAATGAAAATGATTGAAAATTAATTGTGGGCCAGGCGTGGTAGCTCACGCCTGTAATCCCAGCACTTTGGGAGGCCGAGGCGGGTGGATCATTTGAGGTCAGGAGTTCAAGACCAGCCTGACCAACATGGTGAAATGCTGTCTCTACTAAAAATACAAAAATTAGTCAGGCGTGGTGGTGGGCGCCTGTAATCCCAGCTACTCGGGAGGCTGAGGCAGGAGAATCGCTTGAACCTGGGAAGTGGAGGTGGCAGTGAGCTGAGATCACGCCATTGCCCTCCAGCCTAGGCAACAAGAGCAAAACTCCATCTCAAAAAAAAAAAAAAAAAAAAAAAGAGAAAAGAAAGAAAAGACAAGAAAAGAAAATTCATTGTGGTGGTGGATGCACAACTCTGCAAATATTATACTAAAAGCCACTGGATATTATACTTTAAATGGGGGAATTGTATGGTATATGAATTATACCTCAATAAAGCTGCTTAAAATGTTCAATATTTACTCAACTACAATAAAGAATGTGGATACCGCATGAATGAAGAGGCAGAAAAATTTAAATGGAGATGGTGTAAATAAAGAAATGTCAGAAAACAGAAGAAATCAGTAAAAATGAGATAGGAAAATGGGGTAGGGAAAATCAAGGTAATGGTCATTGAACAATAGAACACGAAAAAAAGAAGCCAGAGGAAGCAGAGGAGAGAATAATGATGCAAAGAAAGATAAATGAAGAAAAAGGGGGAAGAATGATAAAGGACAAAGGAAAATCAAAACAAGAATAAAAGAAAAAAGAAGATACTGATGACAAGGATAGATCAGAAAATAATAAGGACAAGATAAAAAATAAAGGACTAAGTATCCATAGTAGATGCTTTAAAATATTTTTAAATAAGAAGAAATTGCTAGGATTCAATAACCCCAATATTTTGTGCAGACCCGAGTCTTGAGATTCCCTACAGACAGCATGTCTGTAGTTTCTGGGACACTGAACAAATTGCAGATGGTAATAATGATGCAAGAAATGACAGCCAAATAAAGGACCTGGAATGCCTTGCTTTTACTTTTCTAAGAGTAAAAATTGCTGGGTGGAGAAGAGAGGGAAGAAAGGGAAAGAGAGGTAGGGGAGGTCCATTTCGAATGAGTTTCCCAGGACTGGATAGAGAATTTTCTCAGGGGAGCTTTTGAAATCCTGCTCTGCCTTTCCCTTGGCTGATTCAAGCTAAGGGCTGGCAAACAAGTACAAAAAATTCATACCAGATATTCTATATTCTGTCATTACTGTAATAAAAAAAGAATAAAACCACTGAGTTCAAAAGAAAGAAAATATAGGCATCTGGGTCCACATAAGACTTTCCCCGTCATCATTGCTAAGTGATAATAGGTGAAATCTTAATGGCTTCCCTTTAAAAAACGAAAAACAGCTGGGTGTGGTGGCACATGCCTGTAATCCCAGCACTTTGGGAGGCCGAAGCGGGTGGATCATGAGGTCAGGAGATCGAGACCATCCTGGCTGACACAATGAAACCCCGTGTCTACTAAAAATACAAAAAATTAGCCGGGCGAGGTGGTGGGCGCCTGTAGTCCCAGCTACTTGGGAGGCTGAGGCAGGAGAATGGCATGAACCCAGGAGGCGGAGCTTGCAGTAAGCCGAGTTCGCACCACTGCACTACAGCCTGGGGATCTCAGAGTGAGACTCCATCTCAAAAACAAAAACAAAAAATGAAAAACAAAACAAACAAAAAACAGAATAAACCAGTAAGACTTGAAGCGATTTCTTCATAGCATGTAGGAGTGGGATGGATATACCTAGCTTTCAGATGATAAGAGCAACTGAAGATTTCCATTTAAAAAAATGCAAATACCTTGTTTCCAAGTTGTGTATAACTTCTATCAGTTTATTTTCTAAGATGAGGATACTTGTAATTTTGTACCATCATGTGAACCTTAGCAAAGTTTTACATTGAGCCTTGAACAACAAACATTTCAGATGAAATTTCAAGTGTGATTATCTGGGTATATTTCAGTAGCACTACTTGGCCACAAGCGCTGATTATCTCAGTAAGACTAAACTTTGCAAAGGCCTTCCCCTAGCTAACTGCAGACATTAGGCATAAGCCCCTTCTTTCCAGCGCACGTATGGTCTCCACAGTCTACTTCCCCGTTTGACCTTTGTAGACCTCTAGATAGTTGTAACTGGCTTGGGGTGACATCTTGTTTGATGAAAATTTAAAAGTCTGACATTTGTCCCCTCTAGAGATTTGGTAACCCCTAATTCCTTGGAAAGTATCCTTTAAAGTCTATGGACATTTTTGTATAGTTGGACAATTAGAATGGCATAGATGCCTTGAACACTGATATTTAGTGATAACAGCCAGTTTCTCCCCAAAGGCTTTTGTGCTAGTGTGTTATGACAGACCGATGCTCTCCTGAGATGAAGCCATGTCCATCTTCACATCTGTACTGCAACTATTAACCGAACATTATTATTGTCATTTGGAAGAATGGATAGAGCCAGTTTCACTTGTGGACTCAAACACACTAATGAGTACTGTTGCAAATTCCTGTATCCAGAGCTATGTTACTGCAGATGTTTAGAAACCAGAACAATCCTCACATCACCATCACGGAGTTATGCACAGTGCCACAGGACAGCTACCATGGCTCTTGCTGGCATTCATGCATTCATCCTAATGGATAGTCAGATGTTCCTCTTCCAGGATCATCATGTTTTTCAAACAGCAAGTGAATTGTGACATAGCTATTAAGCAATCACCACCTAGAAAATACTAAGTAATTTCCTGATATTCTGTTGGTGAGAGCTCTGTGCTTATGTCTGTTACAGATAGTATCTATATCTGGAGCTGCTCCTTTGATTTCTAAGATATATAGTTTTGTGACCTCTCTGGCTAGGGACTTTTTCTGAGCTCTTAAAGTGTTAAATTTGTAATTTAACAAAGGGATTCATTGTAGAGTCCACACACACTTGATTCTGTAACTATTTTCTAAAAATTTCTACAAATTTCTTAGCAAGAAAGATCAGCTGTGTGATATAAACAGCATGGTAATGCTATCATCACACTTGCTTCTCTGTCTGTAAAACTTAGATTTTTGTAAAACTTAGATTTCTTATCAGTTACTGCTGGTATGTTCTTTATGTGAAGTTCTTTTTAAAATAATGGAATAAAAGTCATGTGCTAACCTTGGATAAAGCAGGGACAGTGATGGGCCTAGCTATGGTATGTGTTTGTGCCCCAGATTGTCAGGGCTCAGCACACTATCGATCAAGGTCTTTCATCTTGGTTTCTTGAAGGTGGTGGCATGAAAGTCTTTTCTGTGTATAAATCCAAGCAAGCAGGGTGAGTCTTTATAGTGCTCCTGAGCAACCACTGAAAGCTCAAACAAAGTCTGCTAAAATTTAAGGTCAAACCAAACTGAATTGCCTACTGAGAGATTGTGGAAGGAGTTTATACCACCTGCTCTTGTCCTGACTTAAATCCTTTCATTTAAGTCACCCAGCAGTATCCTATTTAAGGTCATTGAAGAAAGTTTGCAGAGCACCAAGGGGTAGCAGTAGTGAGAAGGAGCCAAATTCAGACACATCTGATTGTAATTAAATACTGTTGGACAGGCCAGGTGCAATGACTCACGTCTATAATCCCAGCACTTTGAGAGGCCAAGGTAGGTGGATCACTTGAGCCCAAGAGTTCAAGACCAGCCTGGTCAAAATACCGAGACCCCCATCTCTACAAAAAATTAAAAAGTTAGCCAGGTGTGGTGGCATGCACCTGTGGTGCCATCTATTCAGGAGGCTGAAGCAGGAGGATCACTTGAACCCATGAGTTTAAGACTGCAGTGACCCATGATGGCACCAGTGCACTGCAGCCTGGGAGACAGAGTGAGACCTTGTCTCTATAAAAATAAGTATTAAATGCTGTTGGAAGTATATACCTTCCTACTGCAAAAAACTTCGGGAGCCCAGGGTTGACAGAAGTAAAAAGAATTCAAATGGAATAAATAATTAGAAAATCACAGTGTCACTTTGGGAGGCCAAAGCAGGTAGATCACCTGAGGTCAGGAGTTCGAGACCACCCTGGCCAACATGGTGAAAACCCGTCTCTACTAAAAATACAAAAATTAGCCGGGTGTAGTGGCAGGCGCCTGTAATCCCAGCTATTGGGAGGCTGAAGCAGGAGAATCGCTTGAACCCGGGAGGCGGAGGTTGTAGTGAGCCGAGATCACGCCATCGCACTCCAGCCTAGGGGACAAGAGTGAGATTTCATCTCAAAAAAATAAAAAAAAAAAGAAAAAGAAAAAGAAAATAAAATCACAGTGTTTTTTGAATTACATGACAACTTTTTTTTTTTTCTTTTTTTGAGATCTCACTCTGTCACCCAGGCTGGAGTGCAGTGGCGCCATCTCAGCTCACTGCAAGTTCCACCTCCCAGGTTTTAGGCCATTCTCCTGCCTCAGCCTCCTGAGTAGCTGAAACTACAGGCGTGCACCACCACGCCTGGCTAATTTTTTGTATTTTTAGTAGAGATGGGGTTTTACCATGTTAGCCAGGGTGGTCTCAATTTCCTGACCTTGTGATCCGCCCGCCTTGGCCTCCCAGAGTGCTGGGATTACAGGCGTGAGTCACCGCACTGGGCCAATTACATGACGATTCTAATTCTCCACCTCTCTGTGCTAGCTCCTTTTCAGCACCTGCTGTAACCAAATCCTGACCTGATTTTTTGATTAAAGTGGGTGCAGTTGTCAAGGCAGCTTAGGAAAGTGGAATGTGGAGCCTATGGTGAAGTAAGTCTTAGGAAACTTGCCTCTTGGTGCTTTCCATCATCCTCACAGAAGGTTGTACCTTGTCCTTCCCTATTCCACCTCTTCTCAGGCAACCCTGTTCTCTCTATTTTCAGTCTCTGTTCAGGAGCTAAGGTGACAGCTGCATTTACCCTACCTGAATGTATCTCTTACGTGTTCTGGACCCTGAAAAGACAGCACTGCTGTTCTAATGAGCTCAGAAACTAGACACTTTAAATTTCCCTTCATATATCGGAGACAGTGGATCTGGCAATCCAGAACCAAGGAGAAAGTTTTTGTTGTTGTCTCCAGGAGAGTCTTCTGCCCATGCTTTAAATTTAGATGTTATTAACTAACATCTTAGTAAACACTCAGGACATGATTTTGCAGGAATTCATAGGATAAAATGAGGAGGCATGCTAGAGGGAGGCGAAAGAACACTAAGTATGGCAGATGGTGGGCACCATTTTTATACCTCCTTCAACTCCTTGTCCTGAAGGTTCTTCGCTGGATGTGAGCTAGTAGGAGGTGGGAAAGTCATGAGAATTACACATGGAGGCTAGTGAACATGCCATCATTAATCTAAGATTTCTCAAAAGAAAGTGGAATTTTAGACGTAGTCTAAGTATGTACTAATGAATCGATTTAATTTAATGAATGCTCACATAATGTGCTTAGGTACATTGCCAGCTGGAAGGAAATTGCTACAAGCAACTCTTCGGCTAATTTCAAAGGTAGGTGATTTTTAGCAGTACCTTATAGGAAATTCTCGTGAACAAAAAATGCATTCCACACACGTATTTCTAGGCATTTAACCTTTCAGTAATCTGCATAGTATATAAATTTAGATGCATTTGTCAAGTCATTTTTACCTTTGTATGTAAGATTGCTATTTGGGAATAGAGGGAAATGTCCTATATTATTTAAGGTTGAATAAAATGATTTTAAAAATATGAATCCTTTTTGTTTTTTGAGATGGAGTCTCACTCTGTCGCCGAGGCTGGAGTGCAGTGGTGCAATCTCGGCTCACTGCAAGCTCCGCCTCCCGGGTTTATGCCATTCTCCTGCCTCAGCCTGACTGCAGGTGCCCGCCATCATGCCCAGCTAATTTTTTGTATTTTTAGTAGAGACGGGGTTTCACCATATTAGCCAGAACAGTCTTGATCTCCTGACCTTGTGATCTGACTGCCTCGGCCTCCCAAAGTGCTGGGATTACAGGCGAGAGCCACTGCACCTGGCCAAAATATGAATCCTATTTTAAAAGTTACTGGTCAGGCACAGTGGCTCACACCTGTAATCCCAGCACTTTGGGAGGCTGAGGCAGACGACTCACTTGAGGTCAGGAGTTCGAGACCAGCCTGGCCAACGTGGTGAAACCCTGACTCTACTAAAAATACAAAAATTAGCTGGGCGTGGTGGCAGATGCTTGTAATCTCAGATACTCTGGAGGCTATGGTAAGAGAATTGTTTGAACAGGGAGGTGGAGGTTGCGGTGAGCCAAGATTGCACCACTAAACTCCAGCCTGGGTAACAGAGTGAAAAAAAAAAAAACAGTTACTTACAGTTTTAGTAATGATTTTTCATGAGCAGACTTCATTTGGTAAAATAAATGCCTCAAAATGTTGAAAATAGTTTTTAGATTCTAGGCCACTATTGTTCTGCCAGTAGTTAGCAGTACTGAAATGCTGAAAGTGAAAGCCAACATATTGAAGAAGAGTGTCATCAGACCCCAGAAACGCCAATAATTTTAACATAGTCAAAGCCTAATTAATGATGGTGTATGAGTTCTGTCCTAGTAGTAGATAGGAGAAGCAGTAAAGCAAAGAGGTTAGGATTGTGGAGTTTTTTGTTTGTTTGTTTTTGTTTTTGTTTTGAGACAGGGTCTCACTCTGTTGCCCAGGCTGGAGTGCAGTGGCCCAGATCTCAGTTCACTGCAGCCTCTGCCTCCCAGGCTCAAACGATTCTCCCACTGCAGCCTCCTGGGCAGCTGGGACCATAGGCACACACCACCATGCCCAGCTAATTTTTATATTTTTGTCAAGATGGGATTTTGCCATGTTGCCCAGGCTGGTCTTGAACTCTTGGACTCATGTGATCTGCTCATCTTGGCTTCCCAAAGGATTGTGGAGTCTTGATTCAGAGTGCCTGGGTTTAATTTTTGGCTCCACTCTTTTCTGGCTATATGATCTTGGGCAAGTTACTAGCTCAGTTTCCTCATCAGTAAAATAATAACAGTAGTACCTGGCACATAGGTTGTGAGAAAATGAGATAATCATGCACAGAGCTTAGAATAGTCCCTATCTCATAATGCATACTCCATAAATATGAGTTATCCTTAGTATTTACGAGTCCACCTATTTCCAGCTCATTGCCACCCACTCAGCCCAAGTTGTCTTCATCCCTCTACAGGCTTCTGCAATAGCCTCCAAACCAATGCCTCTCCATTCCCTTCCTGCACAGTAGATAGTGATCTTTTACATATTTAAATCAGCACAGAGACCCAGCACAGTGGCTCATGCCTGTAATCCCAGCACTTTGGGAGGCCAAGTTTGGAGGATTGCTTGAGGCAAAGAGTTCAAGACCAGCCTGGGCAACAGAGAGAGACTCTCACTCTACAAAAAATAAAATGTCAGCAGGGCATGGTGGCATGCACTTGTAGTCCTTGCTACTTGGGAAGCTGAGGCGGGAGAATCGTTTGAGCCCAGGAGGTGGAGGCTGTGTGATTGTGCCACTGCACTCCAGCCTAGACAACAGAGTGAGACCCTGTCTCAAAAAAAAAAAAAAAGAAAAGAAACAATATAAATTACTGAGTTAAAATAAATTACTGTGAAAAGAAGGAAAGATATAGGATGGTAGTTGAAAGCAGCACAAGAGCAAGTGAAAATTATTTTAAGTAGTGGAGATTTGCATAACTGCAGTCAGTGAAGGTGATACATTGAAGATGTTGGCATTGGAGAAGAGGAGAATGTGTGTCACTTCTTCAAGAAAGAAGAGAAGATAAATCCAGAGCAGATTTAGAAACATGAGCTCTTGAGAGGAAAGGGGCATCTCTCCCTTTGTGAATAGTTAGCTAATAGTTAATTACAGAGCACCAACTAAATGCCAGATGCTCTAAGTTCTTTACATGCACTGTCACATTTAATTCTTGCAGGAATATGATGAAGTAGGTGCAGTTATTATCCCCATTTTACAGATGAGAACACTAAGACTTAGGTTAAATAATTTGTCCCAAATTACACAGTTAGTTACTAGTAGATCAGACCTAAAACCCAGGTCCTGCAGAGCCTTTTGTAGGGATGGACAGTGATATGTGGGAGTAAAAGTGGGATGAACTCAGAAATTTGGAGCATTTCTGGTTTCAGGTGAAGATATTTGCTTTAAGAGTGATGAAAAGGAATGTGGAACAGACTGGCATACAGTAGCATTTTGAATGAACATCTTATTACATCTGGTATCTTTCTAATCATTTGTCACTTCTCTTTAGGATTCAGGTTTGATGAAGCACAGAAAAACATATATGACTATGGAGGAGATATATCAAAAATGCAAATGGGAACATCAGGTCATACTTATTGTGAAAATGTTTATCAAGAACCAAATGTAACTAGATTAACGCCTGATTCTACTTATGGACTATAAAGTACTTTATTTCTATTCTGAGTTATAGACCTTTGAGCCCTCCATCCATCAGTTATAGTCAAGGGGTAGTGTATTCTGACTGGAATAACTTGTGTATATATTCTGGGCACAGAATCTAGCTCAGTTAAGTAAGGAAAATTGAGCAGAAATAGAACACTGGACTGAATACAATGATCATGGCAAATATAGAAATTGTTCCTAGTATTCTGAGAAACTGTAGTATTCTAACAGTTACACTTAAGTAAAGAGACTACATTTAGGTGCAAGAAGCTTCAGACTGATTATTTTGCATGTTTACTTGAGGCATTTAGTGCAATCACGGAAGGCAGAGCTTTCGGTCCCTTTATCCCATATCCAAGTGTGCCTTGCTTCTTCCCCTATTTCCCACTTTTATCCTCTCATTACTCCATTTTTTTTCTTCACTGAACTTTTTTCTTTCTTCTCTTGATTCTCTGTCTACTTACTCATTATAGTTGTCTTTGCAATTCTGTTTCTCTCACACTTAGTTACTGCCTATTTTATGTCATAGTTATTTCTTTCCTTTCTTTTGTAATGTTCTTTATCTTTCCTTGTTTACATTTTTCTCTTTACTTGCTTTCATCAATGTTGCACTTTCCTTTTTTCATTTTCCTTTCTAGATCATTCCCCTAATCTCAGTTTTTTGGGGCCTACGATTTGCCTTCACTACTCTGCATGCAATACAATTCTTTGGATTCCCATTCCCTTTCTTCCAGGTTAGAGCAGTGAATTAGTTTTTTATCACTGCATAATAAATTACCCCAAGACAGCAGCTTAAAGCACCAAAAGTTATTATCTCGTTCAGTTTCTGAGGGTTAGGAAACTGGGAGTGGTTTAGTTGGGTGGCTCTGGCTTGAAGTCTCTCAGGAGGTTGCAATAAAGATTTTGGCCAGGGCTGCAGTCAGCTGAAAGCTTGACTGGGTTGGAGAATCTGCCTACAAGACGGCACACATGAACAGTTGTTGGCAGGAGGCCTCAATTCCTTGATACATAGACCTCCCCATAGGATAGCTTGAGTGCCCTCATAACATGGCTGAGCAAACAACCTGAGAGAGAGAGAGAGAGCAAGGAGGAAGCCACAATGCCTTTTAAGACCTAGACTCAGAGGCCACACACCATCCCTTCTGCCCTATTCTATTAATTAGAAATGCATCAAGTCCAGCCTATACTTATGGAGAGGGGAATTAAGCTCTCTCTCTTAAAAGGAAAACTATCACAAAATTTGTGAATACATTTAAAATCAACACAAAGAGAAAAGGAACAATCTTAGTGGTTCCTTTCAAAGGAAACCATAAGACATTGGTACAGATAGTTTATTTAGGAGATGATCCCAGAAAACACAAATTAGAAATTAGAGAATTAGAAATTAGAGAAATTAGAAATTAGAGAAAGTGACACACGGAAGGGAGAAAAGCCAAAAAACATTTGTGTTAAGAATGGGTTATTGCTGTGGGTATCCAGGCCTCAGTTTGCTAGGAATGCTCTGAGGAACCATACAGAATGCACTTCAGAATTGTCCTGCTAGTGGACGGAGAAACCAGGTATTTATCTACCAGCATGAGGAGCCAAACATGACCGGGCAGCAATCTTAGCTTTAGCTTCAGTGGAATCCTTATTGTGACCTCCAGGGGAGCCATTCCCTCACTGGATACAGGGAGGATACATGTAACCAGTGGCTGCATGGACTCAGTTCTGCTGAGTCTCAACTTATAGGAACAAGAAGCACAAATTCCCAAGGGATCACTGAGAGTAGTGGTGAGAGGGGCCAACCTTATTTCCATCCCTTGGTTCTTGGACCCATATGTCATAACCCTATTTAAATTATTTAGACAGAGCACCATATAATGGCCCTTGGTTCAATGTATATATCACATCCTGGAGGAAAATGCTCCAACCTAGCTGCCTGTCCTACTCAAGCTAGAACCTTAGGTTACTCTTTAACAGGCCAATTTAACACTCTAATTGTTTCTGGATTGTGTGGCATATGATAGGACTAGTGTTTTCCATGGTCATATACTCATTTTTAAAATTTCTTTACTGTAAAATTGGTCCCTTGGTCAGAAAGCCCATAATAGTAAATCATGCGTTTTATAGGTCCTTAGATAGTGGTTCTGATAGAGCCACCATGGTCAAGAAAGGCAAATCCATACCTGGACCAAGTAGCAATCCCTGTTTGGAATGAACTGCTGCAATGTCCAAATAAGAATGGGTCTGTTACAATCATGTTGCCACCAAATAACTGATTGGTCTTTTCAAATGATGGTGCCATATCAAGGCTAAGTGTCATTCAGCAGTGGAAGCAGGTAGATTAGTTTTTCTGAGAAAAGGCCCATGATTTTGGGCCCTTGGCTTCCATCCATGCCATCATGACTCTTCTGTACATGAGCTAATTGCATAAGCACTAGGGTGGCCAAGAGCATGTTGGCTGGCCCTCAGTGCCAAAGTCACCTTATCCATCTGGTTGTTCAGTGTGTCTTCTGTAGTGGATGCTCTCTGGTAAGCATAAAAGTGATAAGTGAAGATCCACACCTTATAAGTCAATCGTTATGACATTTCCCAGATTTCCTTGTCTCTGATCCAATTTTGCCCTTTCCGAGTTAAGTACCTGACCAATGAGTCAAACTATTTGCCACTGCCCAAGAATCCATGTATATCTCTCCTTAAGGCTACTTCTCGCTCAATAAGAAGTGAATGACCAAGTATAGTGCTCAAAGCTTTGCCCACTAGGATTTTCCCTTACCGCTGTTCTTTAGGGCTATACCTAAGTGGGGCTGTAGTAAGGCATCAATCCAGTTTTAGCTTGAGCCAACTCATTCATGAACAAGGCCCAAGTTCATAGGGAACTTCTCTACCTTGAGTGACGTACCATAGTATACCACAGTCAGTATCATCAGTGTGGGCTGAGAGAGAAGCATTTGGGCAACTGAATTAGGTGACGTGGAGATGAGGGCTCTTGCTGTGTAACTTACTTGTGCTTTTCAAATCTGCTGGAGATAATTCCCAAATGTCTCATGTAATGGGTATCTACTGTGCCTGCTAGATCTGACCATTCACAGCAAATAACATTCCCTCATGAAATCTGTCAGATATTATCCCTTTTTGAGAAACTATATCCATGACTATTTACTCTCCAAGACATCCCATGTAACATTTATCACCAAGCCCTGCTTGAGGAGTAAGAAAGTAAAGCAGCTGGCCTGTACTCCCTTCACCTTGTCAAGGGAATTTCTAGGTATATCTAATGTTGTTTGTCCTTGTGTAGAAGTTCCTTAGCAGGCTGACCCTGAGTAAGGGTTACTTAAATAAACCCAGGAACTATGGATTTCTGAGGCATGGCTTCCTGAAGAATGTTATGTAAGCTATACGATTCCATGGGGTATCAAATTGAGACGTTTTGTGATTTAAATATCCCTGCTCTGTGTAATGCAAACCCACAAAACCTTAACTGGAGACCTAATCTGTTATTCTAGGCCAGATAACCCATGTTCAGTGTGGCTGAAGTTCCACAGTCCAGCTGTCCCAGACCTTTCTCTGCCTTGTCTGAGCCTCGATTCCCTGTATCATTGAAATTATTTGTAAAACTTCATACTGAATGAAATCTTTATGTGAATCTGACATGACAGTCCAATCTTTTGTTAGTTCACATACTAATATCATCACGTAAATACCTGCTGAATTCATATATTTCATCTGTGCTGTCACAAACATAGACCATGCCACCATCATCTTTTGCTAACTGGTTTCTTTGACTCAGGTCTTGTTTTCCACACCACAGCCAAAGTGATCTTTCTAAATACAAATGTATTTAATTTTCTTCACTTAAAACACTTCAATGCCACCTCATGGCAGCCAGGTTAAATCCAAACTTTTAAATATAGTTACAATGTCCTTGATGAGTGATAAGGTTTGGATTTGTGTCCCCGCCCAAATGTCATGTAATTGTAATCCCCAGTGTTGGAGGAGGGGTCTGGTGGGAGGTGATTGGATCATGGGGGTGGGTTTCCCCCTTCCTGTTTTCATGATAGTGAATTCTCACGAGATCTGGTTGTTTAAAAGTGTGTAGCATGTCCCCTTTGCCCTCTTCCTCCTGCTCCAGCCATGTAGGACTTGCCTGTTTCCCCTTCGCCTTCTGTCATGATTGTAAGTTTCCTGAGGCCACCTCAGCTATGCTTCCTGTGCAGCCTGTGGAACCAGACCGAACTAAATCTCTTTTCTTTATAGATTACCCAGTCTCAGGTAGTTCTTTATAAGCAGTGAGAGAACAGACTAATACAATGATCTTGCTCCTCTTCACCTCTCCAGACTCACCTTTCTCCACTTTCCATCCCCATACTATTAATATTCCATCATTTTCATTTGCACTCTATAACCTAGCCATATTGAAGTTTTCAGTTTTGTAAATGCACGATTCTGTCTTCCCACCAGCTGATTGCCCTGTCTGAAATGCTCCCTCATCAGTTCCTCCAATACTATTTTTCCAATATTCTATGGAATATTGGTGAGTGTGGTTGTCCCTTGGCATCCCCAGGGGATTTGTTCCGGGCTCGCACAGACACCAAAATCTGCGGATGCTCAAGTCCCTTACATAAAACAGTGTCATGTTTACATATAACCTGTACACATCCTCCTATATTAGTTTAAGGCATCTCCAGGTGACTTGTAATACCTGATACAATGTAAATGCTATATAAATAGTTGTTAAACTATATTGCTTAAAAATCTGTGTTATTTTAATTGTTATATTGGTATTTTTTATGTTTCAGATATTTTTTATATGCAGTTGGTTGAATCTGTGAATGCAGAACCCTCAGATATGAGGGCCGACCATGTTTATTTGGCTAGAATTAACACAAAAAAAATCTGATTAATAGTGATTTAAACAAAGAGGACTGTTTTCCTCAAATAGGCTATTCCACAAGTTACATTTGTTCAGCTATTTAATGATGCCATCACATAGCAAGGCTCTTTCTACCTTTTTGCTCTACCATCTTTAATATGTGGCTTGTTGTGTTTGAGCGTGTTCTCTTATGGTTGCAAGATGGCTGTGAAAACTCCAGACATCATGTCCATGATAGACAGAAAAGGGGCACCACAGCAAGTTCTCCTTTTATCAGAAAAGCAAAAGCCTTACTAGAAGCCCCTGCCTAAGTCACCTTAGGCATCGTTGAACAAAACTGGGTCACAGGGGCACCCTTGGCTAAAAGAAGCTAGAAAAGCAAAAATCTGTCTTTCAACTTCCACAGTGGAAGGAATAAAGGAGTGGAGATGACTGCTGGGTCAAAGGAACAGAGTCCACCACACTCTCCAGTCTGAATTACTATATGTTCCCCAAAGCACCTTGTACTTTTACCCATCATGACACTTAGCACATTGTATCTTTAAAAAACTGTCCATAATCCTAGTAGACCAATGTTTATACCTCAAGTATAAAAACAAATCAGCCAGAAAATCTATTATTTAATAATAGATTTAATTTAAAAATCTGATTTATTGAGATAAAATTTACATACAGTTTACCCATTTTGAGTGTTCAGCTTGATGAGTTTTGACAAATATATGCATTACTGTAATTTCCACAATATGTAAAACATTTCCATGACCCCCAAATTGTGCGTCTTTGTAGTTAACTGACTCACTCCAACTTAAGCCCCTGTCAACCACTAATCTCTCCATCACTAAAATTCTGCCTTTTCTAGAATGTTATATAAATGAAATCATATAGTATGTGGTATTTTTTGTCCCACTTCTTTCATTTAGCATAATGCTTTTGAGATTTATCCATGTTGTATCAGTAATTCATTCCTCGTTTAATGACTACTGTTCCATATCACAGTATGTTTATTCATTCACCAGCTGATAGACATTTGGTTGTTTCCAGGTTGGGGCCATTAAAAAAAGCCGCTATCGACATTCATACACAAGTTTTTGGTTGTTTTTGAGACACAGTTTCACTTTGTTGCCCTGGCTGGAGTGCAGTGGCACAGTCTCGGCTCACTGCAACTCTGGGGTTCAAGCGATTCTCATGCCTCAGTCTCCCAAGGAGTTGGCATTACAGGCACCTGCCAACACGCTAATTTTTTTTTTTTTTTTTCTGAGACGGAGTTTTGCTCTTGTTGTCAGGCTGGACTGCAATGGCGCAATCGTGGCTCACTACAACCTCTGCCTCCTGGGTTCAAGCAATTCTCCTGCCTCAGCCTCCCAAGTAGCTGAGATTACAGGCACCTGCCACCATGCCCGGCTATTTTTTTTTTTTTTTGTATTTTTGGTAAAGATAGGGTTTCTTCATGTTGGTCAGGTTGGTCTCAAACTCCTGACCTCAGGTGATCTACCCACCTCGGCCTCCCAAACTGCTGGGATTACAGGTGTGAGCCACCACGCCTGGCCTCATGCACAAGTCTTTACGGGGACATGTTTTAATTTCTCTTGGGAAATACCTGAGAGTGGGATTGCTCTGATGAACAATAAGTATATGTTTAACTGTTTATTTTACTTTGGTTGTGCAGAACGTGCAGTTTTGTTATATAGGTATACATGTGCCATAGTGGTTTGCTGTACCTATCAACCCATCATCTAGGTTTTAAACCCTGTGGCATTAGGTATTTGTCCTGCTGCTCTCCCTCCCCTTGCCATCCACCTGCCCACGGCCCCAGTGTGTGTTGTTTGCCTCCCTGTGTCCACGTGTTCTCACTGTTCACCTCCCACTTACGAGTGAGATGTAGTGTTTAGTTTTCTGTTCCTGTGTTAGTTTGCTGAGGATGATGGCTTCAAGCTTCATCCATGTCCCTTGTAAAGGACATGATCTTGTTCTTTTTTATGGCTGCATAGTATTCCATAGTGTATATGTGCCACATTTTCTTTATCCACTTTATCATCGATGGGCATTTGGGTTGGTTCCAAGTCTTAGCTATTGTAAATAGTGCTGCAATAAACGTGTGTGTGTCTTTATAGCAGAACGATTTATATCCCTTTGGGTATATATCCAGTAGTAGGATTGCTGGGTCAAATGGTATTTCTGGTTCTAGCTTCTTGAGGAATTGCCAGACTGTCTTCCACCATGGTTGAACTAATTTACATTCCCACCAATAGTGTAAAAGCATTCCTATTTCTCCACAGCCTCAGCAGCATCTGTTATTTCTTGACTTTTTAATAATTGCCATTCTGAGATGGTATCATTGTGGTTTTGATTTACATTTCTCTAATCATCAGTGATGTTGAGCTTTTCTTCATACATTTGTTGGCTGCATAAATGTCTTGTTTTGAGAAGTGTCTGTTCATATCCTTTGCCCACTTTTTGATGGGGTTTTGTCTTGTAAATTTAAGTTCCTTGTAGATTCTGGATATTAGAAGCTGGAGGCATCACGCTACCTGACTTCAAACTGTACTACAATGCTGGAGTAACCAAAACAGCATGGTACTGGTACCAAAACAGACCTATAGACCCATGGATCAGAACAGAGACCTCAGAAATAACACCACACATGTACAACCATCTGATCTTCGACAAACCTGACAAAAGCAATGGGGAAAAGATTCCCTATTAAATAAATGGTGCTGGGAAAACTGGCTAGCCATATGCAGAAAAATGAAACTGGACCCTTTCCTCACACCTTACACAAAAATTAACTCAAGATGAATTAAAGACTTAAATGTGGCTGGGCGCGGTAGCTCATACCTGTAATCCTAGCACTTTGGGAAGCTGAGGTGGGTGGATCACCTGAGGTCAGGAGTTCAAGACCAGCCTGGCCAACATGGCGAAACCCTGTCTCTACTAAAAATACAAAAATTAGCCAGGCATGGTGGCAGGGGCCTGTAATCCCAGCTACTCACGAGGCTGAGGCAGGACAGTCGCTTGAACCTGTGGGGTGGAGGTTGCAGTGAGCCGAGATCTCGCCACTTTACTCCAGCCTGGGCCTAAGAGCGAAACTCCATCTTGGTTGGGGGGAGAAAAAGACTTAAATGTAAAACCCCAAACCATAAAAACCTTAGGAGAAAACCTAGGCAGTACCATTCAGGACATAGGCATGGGCAAGGACTTCATAACAAAAACACCAAAAGCAATTGCAACAAAAGCCAAAATTGACAAATGGGATCTAATTAAACTGAAGAGCTTTTGCAAAGCAAAAGAAACTAGCATCAGAGTGAACAGGCAGCCTACAGAATGGGAGACAATTTTTGCAATCTATGCATCAGTTTATTTTATAATCTGCTTTCTAAGGTGGCTGTACTATTTTGCATTTCCACCAGCAGTAAATAACTTTTCAGTTGCTCCACTTGGTTTTTATAAATTGGTATTGTCTGATGTTTTAATTTTGCTTTTCTAGAGGATGTATAACAGTGAATGACATCTTTTTGTGATTTTAATTTGCATTTCCCCAATGACTAGTGATGATGAGGATTTCTAACTTGCCATTTTTAATATCTTCTTCACCAAAGTGTTTGTTCAAATCTTTGGGCAATTTTTAATTAGGTGTGTATCTCCTTATTTTTGTGTTGAAAGATTTAAAAAATATATTCTAAAACCAAATTCTTTATCACATACTGTTTTGCCAGTTTGTGGCTTGTGTTTTCATTTTCTTACAATGTCTTTTGATGAGAAAGAGATTTTAATAATGCCCAAGTTACCATTTTTTCTTCACCGGTTCCTGCTTTTAGTGTCTTATCTAGGAAATCTTTGCCTAAACCAAGGTCATAAAGTTCTTCTGCAGAATTTAGCTCTCACATTTAAATATATGATCCATTTCTAGTTAATTATTATATGTAGTGAGGGAAGGTTTGAGATTTTCTCGAATATGGATATGCACCATTTATTGGAAAGACATCTTTTCTCTGTTACCTTGAAGCCTTTGCTGAAAAGCAGTAATCACTGTGTAGGTCTCTTTCTAGACTCCCTGTCCTGCTCCATTAATCTGTGTGTCTATCTTTATGGCAATATCACCTTGTATTTCTTTTTTTTTCTTTT